TGTAGTATAGCTCATAATGATGTTTTGAAATTTCAAAAAAATTGCAGACTAATATCAAAAGATATCAAACTGATTTAAAGAGAAATATCAGGAAGTGCTGCTACATTTATATCTGTCCAACGCAATCCCTAGCCGATGTAGCAAGCACTCCACTAGAACATGATAGGAACTTAGATAAAAATTGTAAAATCTTATTTGTAAAATCCGAAAGAGTTTAAGAAACTTTGTTGGATAAACTTATAAACATTAATAAAATTGTAAATAATGAAGGTCTTGTAAGTTGTTTTGTTGATGGTACAATAAAAATAAATTTATGCATAGTAATTTGCATCTTTTTATACTTAAAAGACAATAAAAAGCATTGTACTGCTCTAAGCTACTTAATTTTTTTTTTGAAAGAAATTATATATTGTATTTTTAAACAATAAATTAATGCTACCCCAATTTTAACATTTTTTTATTTGCACAGCAGACGTTACGTCATTACGGCGTTAGTCGCTTTTTTTTGACAAGGTAAACTAAACCCCTGTTACTAATACTAAAAAGCTATTGTCATTGTTAATCAAAAACCAAAAAAAAAAAAACATAAATAATAAGCACATATAACTTTTATGAGTTTTTTTTTTTTCCTTAAAAAAATATTTTTAATTAAAACTTTAAAATTAAAAGTTTTAATTAATGGACTAGAGTCTTTCTCGAAAAAGATACGTTCATTTTTTTTCTCGAAAAGATACGTTCATTTTTTTTCTCGAAAAGATACGTTCATTTTTTTTCTCAAAAAGATACGTTCATTTTTTTTCTCTAAAAGATACGTTCATTTTTTTTCTCAAAAAGATACGTTCATTTTTTTTTCAAAAAGATACGTTCATTTTTTTTCTCAAAAAGATACGTTCATTTTTTTTCTCAAAAAGATACGTTCATTTTTTTTTCAAAAAGATACGTTCATTTTTTTTCTCAAAAAGATACGTTCATTTTTTTTCTCAAAAAGATACGTTCATTTTTTTTCTCAAAAAGATACGTTCATTTTTTTTCTCAAAAAGATACGTTCATTTTTTTTCTCGAAAAGATACGTTCATTTTTTTTCTCAAAAAGATACGTTCATTTTTTTTCTCGAAAAGATACGTTCATTTTTTTTTCAAAAAGATACGTTCATTTTTTTTTCAAAAAGATACGTTCATTTTTTTTCTCGAAAAGATACGTTCATTTTTTTTTCAAAAAGATACGTTCATTTTTTTTCTCGAAAAGATACGTTCATTTTTTTTCTCAAAAAGATACGTTCATTTTTTTTCTCGAAAAGATACGTTCATTTTTTTTTCAAAAAGATACGTTCATTTTTTTTCTCGAAAAGATACGTTCATTTTTTTTCTCAAAAAGATACGTTCATTTTTTTTCTCGAAAAGATACGTTCATTTTTTTTTCAAAAAGATACGTTCATTTTTTTTCTCGAAAAGATACGTTCATTTTTTTTTCAAAAAGATACGTTCATTTTTTTTTCAAAAAGATACGTTCATTTTTTTTCTCGAAAAGATACGTTCATTTTTTTTTCAAAAAGATACGTTCATTTTTTTTCTCGAAAAGATACGTTCATTTTTTTTCTCAAAAAGATACGTTCATTTTTTTTCTCGAAAAGATACGTTCATTTTTTTTCTCAAAAAGATACGTTCATTTTTTTTCTCGAAAAGATACGTTCATTTTTTTTCTCAAAAAGATACGTTCATTTTTTTTCTCGAAAAGATACGTTCATTTTTTTTCTCAAAAAGATACGTTCATTTTTTTTTCAAAAAGATACGTTCATTTTTTTTCTCAAAAAGATACGTTCATTTTTTTTCTCAAAAAGATACGTTCATTTTTTTTCTCGAAAAGATACGTTCATTTTTTTTCTCGAAAAGATACGTTCATTTTTTTTTCAAAAAGATACGTTCATTTTTTTTTCAAAAAGATACGTTCATTTTTTTTCTCGAAAAGATACATTCATTTTTTTTTCAAAAAGATACGTTCATTTTTTTTCTCGAAAAGATACGTTCATTTTTTTTCTCAAAAAGATACGTTCATTTTTTTTCTCGAAAAGATACGTTCATTTTTTTTTCAAAAAGATACGTTCATTTTTTTTCTCGAAAAGATACGTTCATTTTTTTTCTCAAAAAGATACGTTCATTTTTTTTCTCGAAAAGATACGTTCATTTTTTTTTCAAAAAGATACGTTCATTTTTTTTCTCGAAAAGATACGTTCATTTTTTTTTCAAAAAGATACGTTCATTTTTTTTTCAAAAAGATACGTTCATTTTTTTTCTCGAAAAGATACGTTCATTTTTTTTTCAAAAAGATACGTTCATTTTTTTTCTCGAAAAGATACGTTCATTTTTTTTCTCAAAAAGATACGTTCATTTTTTTTCTCGAAAAGATACGTTCATTTTTTTTCTCAAAAAGATACGTTCATTTTTTTTCTCGAAAAGATACGTTCATTTTTTTTCTCAAAAAGATACGTTCATTTTTTTTTCAAAAAGATACGTTCATTTTTTTTCTCAAAAAGATACGTTCATTTTTTTTCTCAAAAAGATACGTTCATTTTTTTTCTCAAAAAGATACGTTCATTTTTTTTCTCGAAAAGATACGTTCATTTTTTTTCTCAAAAAGATACGTTCATTTTTTTTCTCAAAAAGATACGTTCATTTTTTTTCTCAAAAAGATACGTTCATTTTTTTCTCAAAAAGATACGTTCATTTTTTTTTTCGAAAAGATACGTTCATTTTTTTTTCAAAAAGATACGTTCATTTTTTTTTTCAAAAAGATACGTTCATTTTTTTTTCGAAAAGATACGTTCATTTTTTTTTTCAAAAAGATACGTTCATTTTTTTTCTCAAAAAGATACGTTCATTTTTTTTTTCAAAAAGATACGTTCATTTTTTTCCTCAAAAAGATACGTTCATTTTTTTTTTCGAAAAGATACGTTCATTTTTTTTTTCGAAAAGATACGTTCATTTTTTTTTCAAAAAGATACGTTCATTTTTTTTTCAAAAAGATACGTTCATTTTTTTTTTCGAAAAGATACGTTCATTTTTTTTTCAAAAAGATACGTTCATTTTTTTCTCAAAAAGATACGTTCATTTTTTTTTTCGAAAAGATACGTTCATTTTTTTTTCAAAAAGATACGTTCATTTTTTTTTCAAAAAGATACGTTCATTTTTTTTCTCGAAAAGATACGTTCATTTTTTTTTCAAAAAGATACGTTCATTTTTTTTCTCAAAAAGATACGTTCATTTTTTTTCTCAAAAAGATACGTTCATTTTTTTTCTCAAAAAGATACGTTCATTTTTTTTCTCGAAAAGATACGTTCATTTTTTTTCTCAAAAAGATACGTTCATTTTTTTTCTCGAAAAGATACGTTCATTTTTTTTTCAAAAAGATACGTTCATTTTTTTTCTCAAAAAGATACGTTCATTTTTTTTCTCAAAAAGATACGTTCATTTTTTTTCTCGAAAAGATACGTTCATTTTTTTTCTCAAAAAGATACGTTCATTTTTTTTCTCGAAAAGATACGTTCATTTTTTTTTCAAAAAGATACGTTCATTTTTTTTTCAAAAAGATACGTTCATTTTTTTTCTCGAAAAGATACGTTCATTTTTTTTTCAAAAAGATACGTTCATTTTTTTTCTCGAAAAGATACGTTCATTTTTTTTCTCAAAAAGATACGTTCATTTTTTTTCTCGAAAAGATACGTTCATTTTTTTTTCAAAAAGATACGTTCATTTTTTTTCTCGAAAAGATACGTTCATTTTTTTTCTCAAAAAGATACGTTCATTTTTTTTCTCGAAAAGATACGTTCATTTTTTTTTCAAAAAGATACGTTCATTTTTTTTCTCGAAAAGATACGTTCATTTTTTTTTCAAAAAGATACGTTCATTTTTTTTTCAAAAAGATACGTTCATTTTTTTTTTCAAAAAGATACGTTCATTTTTTTTTCGAAAAGATACGTTCATTTTTTTTTTCAAAAAGATACGTTCATTTTTTTTCTCAAAAAGATACGTTCATTTTTTTTTTCAAAAAGATACGTTCATTTTTTTTCTCAAAAAGATACGTTCATTTTTTTTTTCGAAAAGATACGTTCATTTTTTTTTTCGAAAAGATACGTTCATTTTTTTTTCAAAAAGATACGTTCATTTTTTTTTCAAAAAGATACGTTCATTTTTTTTTTCGAAAAGATACGTTCATTTTTTTTTCAAAAAGATACGTTCATTTTTTTCTCAAAAAGATACGTTCATTTTTTTTTTCGAAAAGATACGTTCATTTTTTTTTCAAAAAGATACGTTCATTTTTTTTTTCGAAAAGATACGTTCATTTTTTTTTCAAAAAGATACGTTCATTTTTTT